TGCGGCACGTAGTATCGTATCTTGGAGAGGATCCCAACCGTTTTGGATACTTTTTTGGTTATGTGTTGGATATGGGTGCTGAAGCTCAGGTTGTTGTCGAGGTATAGGCCTAGGAATTTGCCCTCATTATGCCTGGCAATTAGAGTGTTGTCGATCTTAATGTTAATTTGCGCATCTCCTGCTCTGCTACCAAACATAATGTAGTAGGTTTTGTCAGTGTTAAGCGTAAGTTTATTGGCTGTCATCCAAGTCGATATTTTGATCAGCTCCTCATTAACAATGGTGTTGAGGGTGGCAAGATTAGGGTGAGAGATGACATAAGTCGTGTCGTCAGCAAAGAGAATGGGGTTCAGGTGTTGAGATACGTTTGGAAGATCATTGATGTATATGAGGAAGAGCAGGGGACCAAGGACACTTCCCTGCGGAACTCCAGTATCAAGTGGCCGTGTTGTTGATGCTGTGTCTTTAATGGTGACATAATGATACCTATTAGTAAGGTAAGATTTGAAATATGCAAGCGTATGGCCTCTTATACCATAATGGTCAAGTTTGTGGAGTAGGATGTCGTGGTCTACTGTGTCAAAAGATTTTCTTAGGTCAATAAAAATTCCTAGTGGATATTCCTTATTTTCCAATGCTGTGTAAAGCAGATCTAGCATTTTTATGATTGCATCGTTAGTGCTTTTATTTTTCCTGAATCCAAATTGGCAGGGGTTGAGTACGTTTTGTGCCTTAATAAATGAATATAGTCTCCTGTGCACGAGTTTCTCAAAGATTTTGGATAGAAATGGTAAGTTTGATATTGGCCTATAGTTGTTTAAATCTGTAGGGTCACCACCTTTATGTACTGGTGTAACCCTTGCCGTCTTGAGTAGTTTCGGGAAGGTGCTAGTTTCTAGTGACTTGTTAAAAAGGAATGAGATAGCATGCGAGAGGACATGGGCCGCTCTCTTGTACAATAATGGTGGGACATGAGACAGATTCCCTGAGTTATTTTTAAGTGACTTTATAATCTCGGTGACTTCCATGGGCTCAGTTGGAGCAAGATAGAAGGAATTTGGGAAATTCTCATCTAGGTAGTCCCCTGCATGGGCATTGGTACGTGGGATTTTATTGGCGAGATTAGAACCTATGGTTGAGAAGAAATCGTTTATCTTGTTAGCTGTATCAGTGGGATGTAGTGGTGTTTCATTAGGTTTAGTTAGGGCAATATTCTTGTTTTTTTTTTCAGTTTGTGGGTCCCTAGAATCTGAGAGAGTGTTTTCCAGGTCTTTTTTATATCTCCTCTTGTGTCAGTGAATCTACTGGAGTAGTATAGTTGTTTGGCTTTCTTTATTACTTTGGTGAGGACTGATGAATAGTGTTTAAGAATATCTTTGTGTATTAAGCTGTGTCTATATTGCTTTTCATATTGGTGTTTCTTATCAATGGATTTCAGAATGCTGCTGGTTAGCCATGGGTAACCAAGCCGTTTGTTTGTGATCTGTTTCGTTTTTATAGGACAATGTTTGTTGTATAGTCTAAGTAATTTGTTAAGAAAAATGTCTGTCCAGTCATCAATACCATTGGCCTTGGAGAATTCTGTAGGCCAGTCAACAGTCTCTAGGTCAGCTGTGAACTTCCTTATTGAAGCCTCATCATGGAGTCTAAATGAAACTTTGCTGTATTCAAGTGGTGGTTTACTAATGTTTGTCAAGAGGAAGGTAGGGTAGTGGTCTGCAGTGCTATCTGTGATTATCCCTGATTTAAGGGGGGCTAGTATATTGGTCCATATGTGGTCTATTATGGTTGCACTTGTCTCAGTCAGCCTGGTTGGTTTAGTTATTGTTGGTATGAGAAGTGTGTTGTTCATATTGTTGATGAAATCAGTTACAGGCTGATCATCTAGTAGGCCAAGGTTGATGTTGAAGTCTCCAGCTAAGAGAAGGTGGTGCTTATTCATTTGTCTGTTTGTTATTAGTGCCTTTAGTTTCTCACTGAAATTTGGGATGTTTGTGTGGGGTATCCGGTAAATGGCACCGATTGTAATAGGCGTCTTAAGGTTTTTTACAGTAAAATTAGCAAAAATGTATTCCCCATATTCATCACTAAAGCAAGTGGTGCTAATACAAGATAATTGGTTAGAGTAATAGATTGCAATACCACCCCCAACTTGGTATGGTCTGCAGTTGTGAATTGCTGTGTATCCTGGTAGAGGGTAGATATCTATTGTGTCCTGCTTAAGCCAGGTCTCAGTAAGAATAATGCAGGAGAAGGGTGTCTTTAGTGATTCAAGGAGTGCTAGGAGTCATCATAGTGTTTGCTTAAGGACCTGATGTTGTAGTTAAGTACTGATAGACTTTTAGCCTTGTTTAGGATAGTGCTGGCTTGTGTTGCTGTGTAATAAAGGCAGTTACTTTCCAATAGGTTTTGATTGTGTGTCAGATTATGAAGGTTTAGATCAGGGTCAACGTGATCCCCTCAAGGAAGGTTCCTTGATGTTGGTGAGGGGCTCTTGATTTAGGGAATTGGATCTGTGCTCCAGTTCCCCGAATTAAGCCTGAATGCCTTCCACATCCCCCCCCCCCAGGCGCTGTATAATCCTCCGGGTTTAGCGCTTCCCCCTTGATTATAATAATAATAAGGGTCAACGTGATCAATCATCTTCTAGGTTTAAATTATGGTTATTTATATCCTGAGTTGTGGGTTGAGTTTTAGTACTGATATCTGTAGTGGTGGGAAGTTTGGACAAGTGTATAGCTATAGCATTTTGGTCATGTAGAGTATAGTCACTAATACACATAATGAAGTTGGTGTTGTCTGTGTTGTGCTGGAATGAACTAAAGTACAACTAGGTATGAACTAATAATATAAAAATACAATTTAAAAATAGCACAAGACTCTCACTTGTAATTGCACTAAGGTCTAATGTAATGATTTTTGTATAGTCTATGTATTGAGCTAGAATGAGCTATAGTACAACTGAGTTTAATCTAATGATATAAAAAAGGCACAAGACTCTCAATTGTAATTGCACTAAGGTGTTATATAAGTTGTTTACAAAGGCAATGGGGCCGGATAACATCTCTCCATGGGTCCTGCGAGAAGGAGCAGAGACGCTATGTGTACCCTTAAGAACAATATTCAATGCATCTATCGAAACAGGGAGATTGCCTGAGGCATGGAAGACAGCAAATGAAGTCCCAATCTTTAAAAAAGGAGACAGACATGAAGCACAAAACTACAGACCAGTGTCACTGACATGTATAGTATGCAAAGTCATGGAGAAGATTATCAGAAGAGTGGTGGAACACCTAGAAAGGAATGATCTCATCAACAGCAGAGAACATGGTTTCAGGGACGGGAAATCCTGTGTCACAAACCTACTGGAGTTCTATGACATGGTGACAGCAGTAAGACAGGAGAGAGAGAGGGGTGGGTGGATTGCATTTTCTTGGACTGCAAGAAGGCGTTTGACACAGTTCCACACAAGAGATTAGTGCAAAAACTGGAGGACCAAGCAGGGATAAAAGGGAAGGCACTACAATGGATCAGGGAATACTTGTCAGGAAGACAGCAGCGAGTCATGGTACGTGGCGAGGTGTCAGAGTGGGCACCTGTGACCAGCGGGGTCCCACAGGGGTCAGTCCTAGGACCAGTGCTGTTTCTGGTATTTGTGAACGACATGACGGAAGCAATAGACTCGAAGTGTCCCTGTTTGCAGATGACGTGAAGTTGATGAGAAGAATTCATTCGATCGAAGACCATGCAGAACTACAAAGGGATCTGGACAGGCTGCAGACCTGGTCCAGCAATTGGTTCCTGAAGTTCAACTCCACCAAGTGCAAAGTCATGAACATTGGGGAAGGGCAAAGAAGACCGCAGACGGAGTACAGTCTAGGGGGGCCAGAGACTACAAACCTCACTCAAGAAAAAAGAACTTGGGGTGAGTATAACACCAGGCACATCTTCTGAAGCGCACATCAACCAAATAACTGCTGCTGCATTTGGGCGCCTAGCAAACCTCAGAACAGCATTCCGACATCTTAATAAGGAATCGTTCAGGACCCTGTACACCGTGTACGTTAGGCCCATATTGGAGTATGCGGCACCAGTCTGGAACCCACACCTAGCCAAGCACGTAAAGAAACTAGAGAAAGTGCAAAGGTTTGCAACAAGACTAGTCCCAGAGCTAAGAGGTATGTCCTACGAGAAGTGGTTAAGGGAAATCGACCTGACGACACTGGAGGACATGAGAGATAGGGGGGACATGATAACGACATACAAAATACTGAGAGGAATGGGACACAGCAACAAGGGGACACAGTTGGAAGATGAAGACACAGATGAATCACAGGGATGTTAGGAAGTATTTCTTCAGCCACAGAGTAGTCAGGAAGTGGAATAGTTTGGGAAGCGATGTAGTGGAGGCAGGATCCATACATAGCTTTAAGCAGAGGTATGATAAAGCTCCCGGTTCAGGGAGAGTGACCTAGTAGCGACCAGTGAAGCGGCGGGGACAGGAGCTAGGAATCGACCCCTGCATCCACAACTAGGTGAGTACACACACACACACACACACACATACTATTGTAGATATTGCTCCAGGTGTAATGTTTGTACTGAAGTTCTTACCTAATCCCTGAAGTTCTCACCTGATCCCTGACATTCTTACCTAATCCCCGAAGTTCTCACCTGATTATTGACGTTCTCACCTAATCCCTGAAGTTCTCACCTGATCCCTGACATTCTTACCTAATCCCTGAAGTTCTCACCTGATCCCTGCCGTTCTTACCTAACCCCTGTAGTTCTCATATGATCCCTGACGGTCTCAAATGTTCCATGAAGTTTTCACCTCGTCCCTGACGTTCTTATCTGATCTCTGACGTTCACCCCTTCTTCCATCCCTCTAAATCTCTGATCCCTGCCGTTTTTCCTTGATCTCTGACGCGTGACCCTGATCCCTGATGTTTGACCCTAATCCCTGATGCTCTCGCTTAATTTTCTGTTTCTGTTTGAAGTACCTGATGTTTGATGGTGACAGTGGCGGGTCGTCTCCCTCACACAACGACCAGGAGAACACGGTGAGCTGCTGCTTGTGCTGTTCCTGCTGCTGTTTGTGCTGGTGCTGCTGCTGTTGCATGTGCTGCTGCTGCTTCTGCTGCTGCTGCTGCTGCTGCTGCTGTTTGTGCTGCTGCTGCTTGTGCTGCTGCTGCTGCTGATTGTGCTACTGCTGCTGCTGCTTGTGCTGCTGCCGCTGCATGTGCTGCTGATGCTTGTGGTGCTGCTGCTAGTGGTGGTGGTGCTGCTGCATGTGCTGCTGCTGCTGCTTGTGGTGGTGCTGCTGCTGCTTGTGGTGCTACTGCTGCTTGTGCTGCTGCTGCTCTCTGTCATGACCTCTCCCTCATCCGCCAGTTCGATACCCACACACCGCGTGTAAACTTTGTCTGGGAGTCCGTGTCTAATGACCGTACTTTGCTTGTGAGGAAACAAGTTACAGAGCAAGCTTTTACCGGGACAACTTTTCGCCCTGCCTAGAGCGACGTCCCAGTTCGGAAAGCCGTACCGATGAAAGCTTGCTCCTCAACATATCTTTTCTTCAATATAGCCAGCAGAGGTACGCTCATGGTATCCAGTACCTGGCTTCCTCTCTCACTGATTACTTTTGCCTGTAGTAGGGTATGCCTGTCTGTCTTTTGCTTTTGTTTGCTGCTTGCTTGCTTACTGCTGTCTAACTTAAAACTGTACTCAACTATTGGTGGCTATGGAGGTCGTGCCATAGCTCCTGAGCCCCTGTATGCCATGTCATGTGCTGATCTATGCTTGTCATCTCTCGGGAGGCATGTAAGTGTTGCTTACTGTGGGTATGTCTGGCTGTCTCATAATGCATGTTGCTGTCAGTTCCCTCCTGTCTTCTCTTCATGGCTACTTTCTCAGGATCTATGTTCGTGCACGCCCTTCCTTTATTCTGTTGTCCATCCCTTTATTTATCCATTCTTCGCTAGTATCCCTTTAGTTCATTTGTGATGTTATATCTCAGTTGTCTCTGCTTTCCAATTATTTCTTTTTATTAGTGTCTCTGGGTGAACATTGGCTATGTTTATGTAGCTGAGTCTGTCTCGTTAAGACGTGATGTTAATGGTTTTGAAAACCCACAAGATGAAGAATGAGACATCTGTCCAATATTTGGGAATCTTTATTGAGGAAACGTTTCCCCAGCCAGTGACCTTTTCAGTCCAATACAAGAAGCCACTGGCTGGCGAAACGTTTCTTCAGTAAGGATTCCCAGATGTTTCACAACTGTCTCATTTTTTATCTCATTAAGGCGTCGATGTCACATTATTTATACAGTTTTTTTCCGGCTTTATTCTTTTCTTCTTCGCCTGTTAGGCTCCCATGCTTTATCATTATTGTCCGTAATTCTATCAACATTAATACCATCATTATTTATGGTTGTTCTTGTGGAAGAAGAGAGAAATTTGTAGGTTTCAGTTATACCAATAAGGTTCAGTTTCAAACATTCACCTCATTTTTCTATGTCATGTCGCAGCTTAAATACCCTGCATTCATAGTCAGTAATTTATTTTAAATGCAAAGATGAATGATACGACTAGGTGGTATTGGGGGGTAGGGAGTACGAGTGACCTGGGGGATGTCAGGGGATGCCAGGAGATGCCAGACGCAGACTCTGCCACAGTGCCAGTGTTTATTCCAGTCTACTATGTCACAACTTTGGCTGTGTTCAATCATTCTCAACTATTAATCGATTTTTTTTTTATTTTTCCTTCCGTTCAGTAAGAATCAAATATTTGTTTGTGTGTATGTAATTTCGCTTTAAGATAACCTAATCCAAGATAACATGCATAAGGAAATCAGATAAATTCCGTAAAAATAGAAAAATCGTCGTGTTATTTATGGGACAAGTTCGGCATCCACCAGGTCAGAAGCTCCTGCCCCTCACTGTTCCACTCCTCGTTTTCATAACACTGAATTACATGATCCTCAGTACCTTCTCTGGTGGGCACTGAGAGCATGTGTCATGTGTAATGAGGATCTCTCTCGGCTGCAGGTGTTGCGCAGGAAGAAGAAGCGACGATGTCTAATGGCGCAGATGCAGCAGCGCCAGGCGGCCAACATGCGCGAGAGGAAGCGCATGCAGAGTATCAACGACGCATTTGAGGGCCTGCGTGCGCACATCCCCACACTCCCATACGAAAAACGTCTGTCCAAGGTGCGTAGAGCGGCAGGGAAGGATTTGTGTCACATTCAGCATCCCTGTAACAGCATGACACACCTCGCGTTACAGGTCCGTGACAAGGACCAAAGGACAGAGGAGCAAAGATAGCACCAGGAAGTACTAACATTCATCACATATTCTTTATTATACTTGATTTTTCAGTGGCACCATTTTATTGTTCTTTAACTAGGCAGGTATTGGAAGAAAAGAAATGTAAGTATATATCTATTTCTAGGAGAGGATATATGGCATTTGCAGAACCACATATTTAAAAAAAAATGGCATTATTGCAATATGTAGCAAAGCTTATTGCTTATCAGTATTGCAAATTACTATTGTAGCAAAACCGGGTACGTAAATACATTAAACCTCATACAAAATGGATATGTTATTGAAAGATATGTTTCATTAACACTGTATTCCTATACACAAATAACCCGCACATAGGAGAGAGGAGTTTATGACGGCGTTTCGGTCCGACTTGGACCATTTACAAAGTCCAAGTCTGACCGAAACGTCGTCGTAAGCTCCTTTCTCCTATGTGCAGGTTATTTGTTTATTGTTCCAGTCAGGATATTGTGCCTTTGTGTTAACTATATTCCTGTATTATTTATATCACGATTCTTGTAGTCTGCGCTTGCTATACTAATGCAACTGTAGTCTGTGCTGTTTTTTTATGTGAAAATTTGCGCAGAAATGAGCCCGTATTTAAGCTATTCGCGCGCCGAGATTCAAAGATAAGAAGGGCCAAACCATACCATGGGTGGGGTTAAAACCCGCGATCAGAGAGTCACAAAACTCCAGACCGTCGCGTTAGCCACTGGACCAGCTACCACCCGTGGTATGGTTTGTTTGCAATCGTGTCATTACGATTTCATAACAAGGGCAAATTCTGCTGTACGATCATTTGGAATGTCTTGTGGTGTTGGCTGAGCAGTGTGTCATTCCGGTACCAACAACATTGAGAACAAAAAGGCACAATATCATGACTGGAACAATACACAAATAATCCGCACACTGGAGAAACAAGCTTATGACGACATTTCGGTCCGACTGGGACCATTCACAGGTCACAATGTGACTTGTGAATGGTCCAATGTGCGACTTATTCGTGCATCATCAATATAATGAGAACTCGTTTGTTGCGGTTTAGCATCTCAATGGTATGATATCAGAAGCAACTTGATACGCATCTTGGAAAGTTTCTTTATGGTTAAATAACTATTGTAGAAGCCACACTACCTTATGGCAGGTCCTTTACTTACCCTGTGGGGGTATTACGGTCTCTGCTGCCAGTGGCCTACTGGATGCTTCTTGCTCCCACCGGATGGTCTTGACATCAAACTCAATCCAAACCTGTGCTTTGGTCTTGCGTGGTGTGCCCTTGTTTCCCCTTGCCTGGAAACCGAGCAGGTCACTGGAGGTACGACCTGCAGGTGGGCAACACGCAACATTGGTGGGCTGGAGAACCATTTTGATCCTGTATCTGCCATTTAGCGATATGATGGGTACTTTTAGTCCTAGGGGCTTTTTATTTTCGCAAACTGGCAAGCCTTACCATGTTGAACACGAGGGATAGTGGACGGGGAATGGAGAGCTGAAGAAAATCGTTATTATATTGTATATATATATATATATATATATATATATATATATATATATATATATATATATATATATATATATATATATATATATATATATATATATTAATATTCACTCGACACCATCTTTGACTACACAAGAGCGGATTGCAGATTGTGTTATTATTATTATTATAATAATCAAGGGGAAGCGCTAAACCCGGAGGATTATACAGCGCCTGGGGTGGATGTGGAAGGCATTCAGGCTTAATTCGGGGAACTGGAGCACAGATCCAATTCCCTAAATCAAGAGCCCCTCACCAACATCAAGGAACCTTCCTTGAGGGGTTGCAGATTGTGATACTTCACAATATACCTCTCGTCATACAACTATTTCTATATCACATACTATGCCAGATACTGCTATATCACATACTATGCCAGATACTGCTATATCACATACTATGCCAGATACTGCTATATCACATACTATAACAGATACTGCTATATCACATACTATGCCAGATACTGCTATATCACATACTATGCCAGATACTTCTATATCACATACTATGCCAGATACAGCTATATCACATACTATGCCAGATACTGCTATATCACATACTATGCCAGATACTGCTATATCACATACTATGCCAGATACTGCTATATCACATACTATAACAGATACTGCTATATCACATACTATGCAGATACTGCTATATCACATACTATGCCAGATACTTCTATATCACATACTATGCCAGATACAGCTATATCACATACTATGCCAGATACAGCTATATCACATACTATGACAGATACTGCTATATCACATACTATAACAGATACTGCTATATCACATACTATGCCAGATACTTCTATATCACATACTATGCCAGATACAGCTATATCACATACTATGCCAGATACTGCTATATCACATACTATGCCAGATACTTCTATATCACATACTATGCCAGATACAGCTATATCACATACTATGCCAGATACTGCTATATCACATACTATGCCAGATACTTCTATATCACATACTATGCCAGATACAGCTATATCACATACTATGCCAGATACTGCTATATCACATACTATGCCAGATACTTCTATATCACATACTATGCCAGATACTGCTATATCACATACTATGCCAGATTACTGCTATATCACATACTATGCCAGATACTGCTATATCACATACTATGCCAGATACTTCTATATCACATACTATGCCAGATACAGCTATATCACATACTATGCCAGATACTTCTATATCACATACTATGCCAGATACAGCTATATCACATACTATAACAGATACTGCTATATCACATACTATGCCAGATACAGCTATATCACATACTATGCCAGATACAGCTATATCACATACTATGCCAGATACTGCTATATCACATACTATGCCAGATACTGCTATATCACATACTATGCCAGATACTGCTATATCACATACTATGCCAGATACTGCTATATCACATACTATGCCAGATACTTCTATATCACATACTATGCCAGATACAGCTATATCACATACTATGCCAGATACTTCTATATCACATACTATGCCAGATACAGCTATATCACATACTATAACAGATACTGCTATATCACATACTATGCCAGATACAGCTATATCACATACTATGCCAGATACAGCTATATCACATACTATGCCAGATACAGCTATATCACATACTATGCCAGATACAGCTATATCACATACTATGCCAGATACAGCTATATCACATACTATGCTAGAAACTTATCCACTTCTTTCTCACTCTAATCATAAAAAATCTCCACATTAGTCTCGATTACCTCTAGATGAGGAACATTGCCCACAGACCTGGTCATTTTTTTTTTGTTTTGCTAGAATGGTCAGACAAGCTCTATGATCGTAGAGTCAGCCAGGTACTCCTGCGAGGAGCGAGCCAGAAGTTCACTTTTGTACCCAGCACGACGGAGTACGTGTATTACTGGTTAATGACGCTATCCAGGCGGATAACTCAGGAAAACTACAAACTATAGACGACACTCCTTTTACTATACTCAGACATACTCACCTTAATGTATGCAGTGGAGCAGTCATCCTTCCTCACTCAGTAGTATATCAGCAACGTTTTGTTGAATTCACAGACAATATCTTCCAAGTATTTCAACTGCAACAGTTACTTCCCCTCAAAACCGACACTTGTTCGTTCTGCAAGAGGATAACGAACATAACCGAGCAACTTTTCTGCATTAACATTGGACATCAGTGACCTCCCAGCTATCGTGCAGATAACTGCTTAACGACGACAGAGCTTATCTACTCCCCAACAATGCAGTAAGTGCTCGTATTCGCGACATTGTTAAATTCTGTCGTTCACTAGCAGACTGTCCTTCGTGTGGCTTCCCGAGTACTGGAGACGAACACTGCAAACGATCTTATTATTTTTTATTAACACATCGGCTGTTTCCCACCGAGGCAGGATGACCCGAAAAAGAAGAAACACTTTCATCATCACTCCATCATTGCCTTGCCAGATGCGTGCTGACGCTACAGTTAAAAAAACAGCAACATATCTCCACCCCTCCTTCAGAGCTCAGACACCGTACTTTCCATCTCCAGGACTCAAGTCCGGCTAACTGGTTTCCCTCTATCCCTTCATAAATGTTACCTTGCTTACACTACAACATCACGTGAAGTCATAAAAACCATTTGCCCCCTCTCGCTTATATTTAGCATGCTCACGCACGCTTGCTGGAAAAAAAAACCATACCACGGACGGGCATAGAACCCGCGGTCAGAAAGTCTCAAAACTCCAGACCGTCGCGTTAGCCACTGGACCAGCTAGCATAATAAGATTCATCCAACTAGATATAGTTGGACTTGAGCTAGAGTTCGTCACGGCCACGCTAGCTGGAGATTCGTCTGTAAAAACTTGCATTTGTGGTCACAGTGGTGCCTATGCTAACCTTCCTATGGTGTAGAAATATACCTAGTTGGACGAATCTTATTGTGGCTAGCTGGTCCAGTGGCTAACGCGACGGTCTTGAGTTTTGAGACTCTCTGATCGCGGGTTCTATCCCCGCCCGTGGTATGGTTTGTATGCAATCGTGTCATTACGATTTCGTGAGTCGTGTTGCTTGCTGGAAGTCTAAGCCCCTCGCACACAAAACCTTCTTTATCCCCTCCCTTCACCCTTTCCTAGGACGACCTCTACCCCTTCCTTCCTTCCACTACAGATTTACACACTCTCCAAGTCATTCTAATTTGTTCCAACCTCTTTAAATGTCCGAACCATCTCAGCAAGCCCTCCTCAGCCCTCTGGATAATACTTTTAGAAACCCTGCACCTCCTTCTAATCTCCAGGCTACGGATTCTCTGCATTATATTCACATCACACATTGCCCTCAGACACGACATCTCTACTGCCTCCAGCCTTCTCTTTGTTGCAACATTCACCACCCATGCTTCATACCCATATAACAGCGTTGGTACCACTATACTCTCATACATTCCCCCTCTTTGCTTCCACTAATAACGTTCTTTGTCTCCACTGACTCCTCAGTGCACCACTCACCTTTTTCCCTCATCAATCCTATGATTCACCTCGCCTTTCGTAGACCCATCTGCTGACAAGTCCACTTCCAAATATCTGAATACATACACTTCCTCCATACTCCCTCCCTCTAATCTGATATCTAATCTTTAATTACCTATTTTTTTTTATCCTCACCCCCTTGCTCTTTCCTATGTTCACTTTTAACTTCCTTCTTTTACATACTTATTCAAATTCGTCTACCAACCTCTGCATCTTCCCTTCAGAATCTCCCAAAACCACTGTCATCAGCAAAAAGCAACTATGACAACTCTGTGTTTTCGAACTGTGCTGGGGCTCATCCTGTCTGTTTCAGTCATATCCCGTATTCCTTAAGGGATGTGAAATTCGCCTCCTGAAGGAAAAAGAGTAGGGCGTGTCGTACTGCCACGCCAGGGAACAACTTCGCAGATCTTATCCTCTGCATGACTTTCTGACTTCTCTTGCCTTCAGTACACAATGATTTTGAAGGGTTTTCCTTTGAACCTCCAGTTTCAGATTCCGCACAACCTAAGCAATCTGTTCTTTCTGCTCTTTTGGTGAAAGACATGGAGGTTAACATGGGCCTATTCTCTTCTCCTGAGTCTTCTACAGTTCTCCAAGATTCCATTAGTTTCTCTCTTTCTCAGTTCATGCCTTCTGTAAACTGCTCATGCACCTCTCCAGAACTTTTTAAAATTCCTTTCTTCCCATTGAATTTTTAAAGTTCTCTTTCTGCTACTAATGTGAGAAATAAGTTCACACTGTTGCAAATATTTCTTTGTTAGTGTATGTATGACTTAAGTTGGTCGTTGGTCGTTTCAAAACCACGTCTTCGAGACCGATGAACTCATTACATCGTCTTTACATCTATTCTTCTTCTGCTGCCACTTCTGTATTCGACTGAAGATGCCTACTGTGTAGGCGAAACGTTTAGGAATAAAGATACGTAAGTGTTGCACATGTTTCTTACTTATCTTCTGGGTAGAATAACACGTAGTCTTCTTTACCTAATTATCCTAATATTTTTCTCTCCAAAACTCAGGAATCCAGCACTGACTCCGAAGATCATTTCTTCCTCAGCATTATTTATATCCCGCTTTTCGATCTAATGTTTTTAAGCTTGTGTACTGTGCAAAATTACTTTTTTTGTTTATGCCAACAGCATTTGGTGTTCCCAGGCGGTAACAACTGGAATGTCATTATCTATTGCTAGCTCCTCTTCCACCACCAAATCATGTATTTATTGGCTGTATTCTGTCAGTTCAACAGTAGAGTAGTGTTTTCAGATCTTATAAATATGCAAGTTCCAGTTGGAACTTTCCTGTTGGAAATCATACAGCGCCTTTCACAACAATAATAAGAAATATAGTGACCTGTCATTTTCCAACATCAAATGTTCTCCTTGTTAAAAAAAATATCACGTAACCTCTGCCAGTATTTCTCTGATTCCTTACAGCAACTCAGTAGCATCATCCTTTGATCAAGCCAGACAAGGTCGTATATACACGGAGAGGTGTATATTTCTGGGTATGAACTAACAGTATGCTCGCACTTCAATTCCAATTTTAGGGATTAAGGTATTCATAAAGGTGCACTCAATGACTTTCCTGGAGTTAATGACTTTCCTGGAGTTGACAGACTTCACAAATAATCTTCACAAATAATCTTGAAGCACTTGCCTCCCACCACTGAGTTTCCTTTTTCTCTGCACTAGCTCCGCTTCAACTGTTCTTGTGTTAAGGACTCTCTTATTTGTATACCGACTCTTCGTGTGAGATGTTGATGATCAACTTAGCACTTGTAATTTACTTAGGAAGAAAGGTATTAAAATTTTAAATCAAGGAACTAATAAAATTTATAGATGCAGGGGACAGGTTAACCTGTCCTCCTCGTCTATATATACACGGAGTGAGGGAGGGAGTGTGGGAGGCAGGGAGCAATATACTATACTGACTCACTCTTTTGTGTTGGTGTAAATGGTCCAAGTCGGACAGAAACGTCGTCGTAAGCTCCTCTCTCCTATGTGCAGGTTATTTGTGTATTGTTCCAGTCACGGTATTGTGCCTTTGTGTTCTTCATAACTGAAGGCTTACTCAACCCTGTAAGATCTTAGGTAAGTAATAACAAGGCTCCTCCGTAGGAAAAGTAAGAGAAAAAATAACAAAAACTTACAAAGATAAACACTATTATAAGAATTCCTACGAAAAGTGTAAAACAATTAAACATGAGAATTAATCCTATTTGAAAGAAAAATGAAATATAAAAATGATAATGGAATTGAAAGCTAATTTGTGCAAATGTAAATGTATAAGGGCGTGTCGATGTTGACACAGCGCGTTGTACAAACTGAAGCCGTTGTTGAAGATGAAAGGGGAGGTCACATTATTATTGTTATTATTATTATTATTATCAAGGGGGAAGCGCTAAATCCGATTATACAGCGCCTGATGGGGGGGGGGGATGTGGAAGGTATTCAGGTTTAATTCAGGAAACTGGCGAACAGATCCAATTCTCTAGATCAAGAGCCCAGCATCAAGGAACCTTCCTTAGGGGGGGGGGGTTCAGAGGTGTTCGTGATTCCAAAGACGATTTCCATAGTTAGGTGAATCTGTTTCCAATCACCACGTTTATCATCCCAGTTTGGAAGACGTGAGTAGCTCGCCCAGGCACCAGGAACACTGGCGTAGTTACACTGGGTGTGTAGCTGGCTAGGGTGACCAGTTACAAGTGATAAGGGGGCGGTTGGATCGTAGGTATGTGCGGTTGGCTCAATAGATCTTTGCCAGATCCCTGCTGTCCTTATCTCCACATCACTCGTGTCAGATGACCCACGTTGATAGTTCAAGGCTATAAACAGAGATTAAGTAGTTACAACCTGATCGCTAAATCACTCACACGATAGGCGTACAACCTTTAAAAGAAATGGTGAGGATTAAAAAAAATGACGTTAAATTTACAGCAAGGCAGGAATTAACACAAGTGCACAGCCTTAAATAAGAGTGAAGTTCTTAAGACAAATAAAGAAATAAAATATTACAAGAGTGAAACGCATACTTACAGGTTTGATTGAAGCAGCTAGTCAAGTGATTTCTCCACTGGTTGGAGAGTCACACATCACCTCCCACCGGGTGAAAAGATGGGGGTTGGGGATAGCGGGAGCTAGACACTCCACGTGCCTTAACTAGCAGACTGCCAACAAGCAACCATCACCATACATTCATAATTTCCATACTCCTATATTGAGCTTTTCCCTCACAATAACTAATGTTATTGTCAGTGTTCTAGCAGTTAATCTAAACTGAGAGGGACTACATTTACATATCCTGTTAACTAGTCTATGTCACGCATTTTTAAATATAATATTCTAATTTTGCGAAAGGGCAGATGCAAATTGGATAGAAAACGAGAGGCTGGATAATCATCGTCTTCGAAACATAAGATGATACTCTGCAAGGCATTTACGATCTCTGGACTGGAATATTAGTGAACACTTCAGACGAAATTATTGAAATGGAGAATGTACAGATAACTTTCGTTGGTAGTATTAGATCATTCAGGCACCTAAATCATTGGGAGCGTGTAAAATATCTTAATCTATACTCCGTGGAACACATGCGAGAATGATACATTGTAATTTATACTTACACACTGAAATTACTCCTTATGAGAGCAGGAAGCTCCAGAAATGGTACAAAATAGCCCCAATAAAATGCTGGTAATGCAACGAATAAGAGACTGATTAATAAGTGTAAAGGATCTAAGTTTTTACTTGTCATTCCATCGAGTATAAGAGGAATTACTTAACAAAAACTTAGCTGTTTTCAGGCGGAAACTTGATAAGTTCCTCGAATCAGTTTCTGATCATCCAGGTTGTTGTGCCTCCAATGTACTGTACTGTTAGCACTAACTTCTTGAGTAATTATATCATTCAGTAGGCCAGGTCTGGAGCCGGTGTCTTCACGCTTTCTGATGCAAAGATGTCTTCACGTTCCCTGATGCACAAATGTCTTTATTCTCCATCATTGAGCGTGAAGATGTCTTCACGCTCTTTGATGGACAGGTATCTTCACGCTCTCTGAGTTGTCGATATCTCCTCACGTTCTTGATATGCAAAAGTCATCTAACCACACTCTAATTCGCAGATGTCTCCTCCTCCTATCTTTGACGCACACATTCATGCTATTTTTGATGTGCGCAGATTTCGTTTCAATCCTGACTTGTGTCAGGAGTTATTTGTCCAATTTCCTGAAAAGATAAACTACCAACATCCATCACCACCTGTACTTAACTCCCACACCTTCCTCAGGTGGACACTCTGCGTCTGGCGATCGGTTACATCAGTTTCCTGGCGGAGCTGGTGGCGAGCGACCGTGCGCCTGACCCTCACCTCCACCCACCCAACCACAACGACGCCAACAGGAAGGTCATTGTACGCAGCTCCAGAAGTAAGTGAGAGAGAGAGAACGAGAGGTCGCAAGGGCACGAGAGGTCTAGAGAGAAATAGAAAACACACATGTACATAGAAGTATATGCTAAGGTCAGGTAGGAGAAGACACTGGAGTCCATAATGAGGTTATCTGCCGAGAAGGACGATTTACTTCTATCTTGATTTAAGAGTATTAACAATTATTTAGAAAATTAAAGTAAGGATAGAAAAGCAGAAATCTTTTGGTCTCGTCTTAACTGTCCAAAGCGTTGTTGACTCGTTTGAAAGGTATTATTACCTCTAGACGCTGTCCACGAACCACACAGATTTTTCAAATCCTTTCCTTGAATTGCTCCTGAAGAAGTATGTACTACGCGAAAGGCTTAGAGCAACTTCGTTCTCTTCCCACGTCCCCTCTTACCCTCGGGTTTATTGTGAACTAGTAATCACTTGCTTAGATATTTGTGAGTGAGCTTCGGCAGACGGTTCTACTAGAGATGAGGTGAACCATAGAACTGATGAAAGGAAAAAATGTGGGTAGTGTATTGAGACATCTGTAGAGACAAAGAATTTTATCCCTGGAGGCAAAAAGGGGAATGTACCAGAGTAAAGTGGTACCAACACTGTTGTAAGGGTGTGAGGTATGGGTTTTGAAAATACCAACGAGAACGAGGTTAGGGAGCAGAAGAGATGTCGTATTTGAGAGCAATGTATGGTGTGCATATTATGCAGAGAGAATTCGGAGTTTAGAGATTAGAAGGAGGTGAGGAATCACCAAAAGTAGAGTATTAGTCAGAGGGGTGAGGAGGGGTTCTTGAGAAGGTTTGGACATTTAGAAGTTGGAAACAAAAATATTAGGTAATTGAAGACAGATGCAAAATGTTACCACAATAAAATGTCACATTAATTGGATCTGTGTCCATTTACCTAACATTTTGTTGGTAATTCTACTATCATTACTAAACGGAGAAAAATAGGGTGAGTATGAGGACGTATAAATCTTGGGAAGAGGGAAGGAGGGGTAGGAGCCATCCAAGGAAAGGTTGGTGGGAATGAGTAAGGAGGTTTCGAGTGCTAGGGGCTTCGATATCTAACATGCTTGTGAGTGTATTAAATAGGAGTGAGTGAAGGCAAATGGTTTCTATGATTTGACGTGCTGTTGGAGTGTGAGCAAGATAACGCTTACGAGAGGATTCAGAGAAACCTTTTAGCCATACATGAGCCCTGGATGTGAAAAGTACAGTGACTATACAGTAGTGATCAAATTAATTGGGGCAGGAGTAAATTTTGTGATTATTCATGTCTGAGTCTCCGGCTTAATTAATGTAGTTTGGGTTCTTTTCTTTACAGAAGAGTTTGCTATCGACTTTTGGCACCCAACCAGCTTTGACATTACCCTGCAACTCTCGTCAGTGCTACAACAGCTGTTGTTATGTAAGGCTATTCCTGCTAGCATGCTCCATGAGTGAATATGGTTTTGCCAAATTCTCCCATTCAATTCATGATTACTGTTGAAATTCATGATGGAAGTTACACATAGGAAGCATGCAAATATTGTAGCTCTTAGAAAATATACTGATTTGAGTACCAGACAGATCGTCAAAAATTTGAGCCTAGCAAAGGCAACTGTTGGTCGGATTCTGAAGAGAGATGACGACACTGGTGATAGTGGAGTTCTGCGTCGAGGAAGATGTGTAGAAAAACGCAAGACGACACCTCACGATGACAAAGTTATCATAAGAAATAGTGTGAAGGATCCCAAGAAAACCAGCAAAGATCTACAGAGAGATTTGGCTTCAGCTGGCGTAAATGTTGATTCTTCAACTGTTCGACGAAGGCTCCTTGAAGTTGGCAGAACTGCCAGAAAGCCGGTAAAGAAACAATTATTGACTGCTGCTATTAAAAAAACTGCTGAAATGGGCACTCGATCATAAGGAATGGGAAATAGATGAATGGAGAAAAGTTATATTTTCAAATGCGGCGCATGTGTACGGATCAGTGGTAATAAGACGGAGCCAAAGCGAACTTCTTCAGAGTGAACACATTCAAAAAGCGCCAAAACACCCACCTAAGATGTTTTGGGGTAGTTTGACTGCGCAGGGCCTTAGACGGCTTGTTATTGTTGAGGGAACGATGAACAGTGACAAATACAAGGCAATCCTGGCAACTCATTTACTTCCCACTGTGAACAGATTTTTCGGATGGAGATGGCATTTTCCAGTAGGATCTTGCTCCATGCCACACTTCCGGAAAAATGCTGACATTCTTTGAAGAGAGTGAGGTAAGCGTTGTAAATTGGCCTGGAAACTCTCCTGGCCTCAACCCAATTGAGAATCTATGGCAATAACCAAACGCAGAATCGCGAAACAGGACTGTTCAGCTGTTGAGAAGCTAATTGCTGCTGTTATTAGGACCTGGTACCACAAGGAAGAACTTCCCAAGATGTGTTCAACATAGGTCGATTCTATGCCAAAGCGTGTAGCAATGATTATGAAAGCAAAGGGTAGTCATAACTCTTATTAAATCAATTATCTGTCATATCACTGCCGTGTATTTTTCAAATAATCATTAATTTTCCAAATCAGTGTCTTATTTCATCACTGTCCCAATTAATATGCACACTACTGTACTCTGAAGGAGAGGAAAGAATGTTGCTATATGGAGGATTATCTGAACTGTGATGTCTGCATCCTTCTGGTAAGGTTGTGACTGAGTGACACAGAAAGTGTCACTCAATCAGGTAGGGTCACCCTACCTCCGTGGCAGTCAGGCGGGATGCTTAAAATGAAAAGGGTAGAATGAAAGAGGGTAAAGAAGCTAGGAATGATGACTCAAGACAGTAATGTTAAAAACAAGTGGGGATATAGTCTCCAGGTAAAGTTCAGGAGCGGTTGGTGCTTTTATTTAATAAATGTATGAAAGAGGGGAAGGTACCTAGGAATTGGCAGAGAGCATGCATAGTTCTTTTGTATAAAGGAAAAGGGGAGTAAAGAGAGCGTAAAAATTATAGGATTATAGGAGAATAAGCCTGTTGAGTATACCTGGTAAGGTGTATGGCAGAGTTATTATTGAAAGAATTAAAAGAAAGATGGAGAGCAGGATCGCAGATGAACAAGGAGGCTTTAGGAAGAGTAGATGTGTGAACCAAGTGTTGACAGCGATGCATTTAAGTTAACAGTATTTAGATAAGGGTAAAGAAGATTTTTGTTGCAATTATGGATTTGGAAAGGGTATATGGTAGGGCGGATAGGGGAGCAATGTGGCAGATGTTGCAAGTGTCTGATATAGGTGGTAGGTTACTGAAAGCAGTTAAGAGGTCTTACGAAGATAGCGAGGCTCAAGTTAGGGTATGCAGTGTTTAATATAATTATAGATGGGGATTTAAGAGAAGTTGCAAAGGCTGGTGGACGAAATTGGGAGCGTATATAAAAGAAGGAAATTAAAAGTGAACATGGGAAAGAGCAAGGTAATGAGGACAACAAAAAAATTAGGTAATGGAAAATTGGATATCAGAGTGGAGGGAGGGAGTATGGAGTAAGTGAATGTGTTCAGATATTTGGGAGTGGACGTGTCAGCAGATGGGTCTCCATGAAAAACTAAGTGAGCCATAGAATTGATGTGGAGAAAAAAGGGGAGTATGTGAAAGTATAGTGGTACCAACGTTCTCACATGGGTGTGAAGCATGAGTCGGAAATGTTGCAGCAAGGAGGTGAATGGAGCTAGTGGAGATGTCGTGTCTGAGGGCAATGTGCGGTGTGAATATAAGGCAAAGAATTCGTAGCTTGGAAAGTAGAAGGAGGTGCTGGATTACTAAAAGTTTTATCCATAGTGTTGAAGAAGAGTTGCTGAGGTGGTTCGCACATTTAGAGAAGATAGAACAAGATAGGGTGACTTGGAGGGCGTATAAATCTGTAGTGGAAGGAAGTCGCGGTAGGTGTCATCCTAGGAAAGGCTGGAGGGAGGGGATAAAGAAGGTTTAATGTGCGAAGGGCTTAGACATCCAGCAAGCGTGTGTGCGCGTGTTAAATAGAAGTTAGTAGAGGCAAGTGGTTTATATGAGTTGACGTGCTGTTGTAGTGTGAGCAAGGTAACATTTATGAAAGGATTAAGGCAAACCGGTTAGCTGGACTTGAGTTCTGGAGGTGGGAAGTACAGTGCCTGCACTATGAAGGAAGAGTATATTTGCAGTTTTGAAGTGAAGTATCGGCACACCTTTACCAAGACAGTGATGGAGTAAATGATGGCGAAAGTGTTAGGAGGGAGAAGACTGAGGGAAGAGTATGCTAATTGTTAAGCGTTTCAAATCACTTTCGAAGTTCACTGCATGTGGCAGGATTTGATGAAATAACTTATCATTATCCTTGTTTCCCGAAATATGGGAGTGACCGCCTAGCGTCGGCTAGGCGCCCATAACGTATGTGAGATCTAGCTGTAACTTTATGAAAAATTTACAAAAAGAAGGGAACAGAAGGCCGAAAGTGATGACTCTTTAGGAAATAGCTTTCCAAAAATTACTTTTAAATGCCTATTTTATTTCTGTTCTGCTTGTGGTAAGTGCTGGGTGAAATGGCTGCAAGTTATCAGCAATTAGTAATATTATGCTTAGAGTGATGAACGACACAGCTTCCAGTTATCAGTAATTAGTAATATTCTACCTAGAGTGATGAACGACACAGCTTCCAGTTATCAGTAATTAGTAATATTCTACCTAGAGTGAGTGATGAACGACACAGCTTCCAGTTATCAGTAATTAGTAATATTCTACCTAGAGTGAGTGATGAACGACACAGTTTCCAGTTATCAGTAATTAGTAATATTCTACTAGAGTGATGAACGACACAGCTTCAGTTATTCAGTAATTAGTAATATTCTACTAGAGTGAGTGATGAACGACACAGCTTCCAGTTATCAGTAATTAGTAATATTCTACCTAGAGTGAGTGATGAACGACACAGCTTCCAGTTATCAGTAATTAGTAATATTCTACCTAGAGTGATGAACGAACAGCTTCCAGTTATCAGTAATTAGTAATATTCTACTAGAGTGAGTGATGAACGACACAGCTTCCAGTTATCAGTAATTAGTATATTTACCTAGAGTGAGTGATGAACGACACAGCTTCCAGTTATCAGTAATTAGGTAATATTCTACCTAGAGTGATGAACGACACAGCTTCCAGTTATCAGTAATTAGTAATATTCTACCTAGAGTGAGTGTGAACGACACAGCTTCCAGTTATCAGTAATTAGTAATATTCTACCTAGAGTGAGTGATGAACGACACAGCTTCCAGTTATCAGTAATTAGTAATATTCTACCTAGAGTGATGAACGACACAGCTTCCAGTTATCAGTAATTAGTAATATTCTACCTAGAGTGAGTGATGAACGACACAGCTTCCAGTTATCAGTAATTAGTAATAATCTACTAGAGTGAGTGATGAACGACACAGCTTTCCATTATCAGTAATTAGTAATATTCTACCTAGAGTGATGAACGACACAGCTTCAGTTATCAGTAATTAGTAATATTCTACCTAGAGTGAGTGATGAACGACACAGCTTCCAGTTATCAGTAATTAGTAATATTCTACCTAGAGTGAGTGATGAACGACACAGCTTCCAGTTATCAGTAATTAGTAATTTCTACCTAGAGTGATGAACGACACAGCTTCAGTTATCAGTAATTAGTAATATTCTACTAGAGTGAGTGATGAACGACACAGGCTTCCAGTTATCAGTAATTAGTAATATTCTACTAGAGTGAGTGATGAACGACACAGCTTCCAGTTATCAGTAATTAATAATATTCTACCTAGAGTGATGAACGACACAGCTTCCAGTTATCAGTAATTAGTAATATTCTACCTAGAGTGAGTGATGAACGACACAGCTTCCAGTTATCAGTAATTAGTAATATTCTACCTAGAGTGAGTGATGAACGACACAGCTTCCAGTTATCAGTAATTAGTAATATTCTACCTAGAGTGAGTGATGAACGACACAGCTTCCAGTTATCAGTAATTAGTAATATTCTACCTAGAGTGAGTGATGAACGACACAGCTTCCAGTTATCAGTAATTAGTAATATTCTACCTAGAGTGAGTACTGAACGACACAGCTTCCTGTTATCAGTAATTAGTAATATTCTACCTAGAGTGAGTGATGAACGACACAGCTTCCAGTTATCAGTAATTAGTAATATTCTACCTAGAGTGAGTGATGAACGACACAGCTTCCGGTTATCAGTAATTAGTAATATTCTACCTAGAGTGAGTGATGAACGACACAGCTTCCAGTTATCAGTAATTAGTAATATTCTACCTAGAGTGAGTGATGAACGACACAGCTTCCAGTTATCAGTAATTAGTAATATTCTACCTAGAGTGAGTACTGAACGACACAGCTTCCAGTTATCAGTAATTAGTAATATTCTACCTAGAGTGAGTGATGAACGACACAGCTTCCAGTTATCAGTAATTAGTAATATTCTACCTAGAGTGAGTGATGAACGACACAGCTTCCAGTTATAAGTAATTAGTAATATTCTACCTAGAGTGAGTGATGAACGACACAGCTTCCAGTTATCAGTAATTAGTAATATTCTACTTAGAGTGAGTGATGAACGACACAGCTTCCAGTTATCAGTAATTAGTAATATTCTACCTAGAGTGAGTGATGAACGACACAGCTTCCAGTTATCAGTAATTAGTAATATTCTACCTAGAGTGAGTGATGAACGACACAGCTTCCAGTTATCAGTAATTAGTATATATTCTACCTAGAGTGAGTATGAACGACACAGCTTCCAGTTATCAGTAATTAGTAATATTCTACCTAGAGTGAGTGATGAACGACACAGCTTCCAGTTATCAGTAATTAGTAATATTCTACCTAGAGTGAGTGATGAACGACACAGCTTCCAGTTATCAGTAATTAGTAATATTCTACCTAGAGTGAGTGATGAACGACACAGCTTCCAGTTATCAGTAATTAGTAACATTCTACCTAGAGTGAGTGGTGAACGACACAGCTTCCAGTTATCAGTAATTAGTAATATTCTACCTAGAGTGAGTACTGAACGACACAGCTTCCAGTTATCAGTAATTAGTAATATTCTACCTAGAGTGAGTGATGAACGACACAGCTTCCAGTTATCAGTAATTAGTAATATTCTACCTAGAGTGAGTGATGAACGACACAGCTTCCAGTTATCAGTAATTAGTAATATTCTACCTAGAGTGAGTGATGAACGACACAGCTTCCAGTTGTCAGTAATTAGTAATATTCTACTTAGAGTGAGTGATGAACGACACAGCTTCCAGTTATCAGTAATTAGTAATATTCTACCTAGAGTGAGTGATGAACGACACAGCTTCCAGTTATCAGTAATTAGTAATATTCTACCTAGAGTGATGAACGACACAGCTTCCAGTTATCAGTAATTAGTAATATTCTACCTAGAGTGAGTGATGAACGACACAGCTTCCAGTTATCAGTAATTAGTAATATTCTACCTAGAGTGATGAACGACACAGCTTCCAGTTATCAGTAATTAGTAATATTCTACCTAGAGTGAGTGATGAACGACACAGCTTCCAGCTTCCTTTCGTAATAGTGTTGAAACTATGCAAGTAATCAGTTCTATTTTTATTAATAAAACAATTTTCTTGACAATTACATTTCTTATAGTCATTTGTTTAAGAAAATTTGTTGGTTCATCTTATTTTCAGATCTGACCTCCCCATCTCCCCCTTTCCCTCTCCTTCCCTTCCTTTCCCTCTGTCTCCCTTACGTTCCCTTCTTTTCCCTCTCTCTCCCTTACCTTCCCTTCCTTTCTCTCCATCTAGTTAAGCCTCCTACTCTGTCCTTCCTCATACTCTTCCCTCAGTCTTCCTCTCCCTCCTTTTAACACTCCCTTTTTTTTCTCTCACACAACACCTCATTCTCTCATCCTCCCACTTAGTCTCCCTCATTCTTCCTCCCACTAAGCCTCCCTCTTTCCCTCCCACTAAACCTCCCTCTATCTTATTCCCATTGACCTTCCCTTCTTTCCTTCCTTCCCATTGAAACTCCATCCCGTTAAGCCCCTCTCTTTCTTTCTTTCCCCCTTCTCACTAAGTCTCCCTCTCCCTCCCACTATCTCTCATTCATTCTCTACCAACTTTGTTAGTCTCCATTCACTAACATTCCCTTCCACTTGCAGTTCTCTTTGTTCGCACTAACCCTCTTCTCTCCCTCCTCATAATCTTCCCACACTCTCCCTCCCACTAATCTTCCCATACTCTCCCTCCCACTAAGCCTCCCACACTCTCCCTCTCACTAAGTGTCCCACACACTCACTCTCATTAAGCCTTCCTCATACACCCTCCAATTAAGCCTCCCTCTCTCTCTCCCTCTCTCTCCATCCCACTAAGCTTTCCTCTCTCTCCATTTCACTAGCCTCCCTCATTCCCAACTCCCATTAACCATCTCTCTCCCACTAAGCATCTCCCTCCCACTATGCATCTCGCTCATACTAAGCATCCCCCTTCCACTAAGCATCCCCCTCCCACTAAGCATCCTCCTCCCGCTAAGCATCTCCCTCCCACTAAGCATCTCCCTCCTACTAAACATCTCCCTCCTGCTAAGCATCTCCCCCACTTAACATCTCCCTTCCACTAAACATCTCCCTCCCACTAAGCATCCCCTCACATTAAACATCTCCCTCCCACTAAAAACCTCCCTCCCACTAAATATCTCCCTCCCACTAAACATCTCCCTCCAACTAAACATCTCCCTCTCACTAAGCCTCCCTCACTCTCCCTCACAGTGAGTGTAGACAGTGTGCCTCACTCCCTCACCTGGTCCCATGTTCGACCTCACGTCATCAACGGGAAGGTCACGGCTAAGACCTGGGTCCCTGAACAGCAGAAGCGGCAGTGAACATCATGTGAACACCCGCTGAACAGGCACTGAACAAGCTGTTTACACTCGGTGAATACCCCACGAACTATCGCTGAGCAACACGTGAACACCAGCTGAACAAGAGGTGAACAAGAAGATTAAAACAAACTTGGTGAACCGGTGAGCTACGTTGAACAAAAGGTGGGAAGAAAATTGAGAACATCTAGTTTACTGGAGGTGAACAGATCTTGAACATCTTTCCTAATGAGTGGTGAACAATCCATTAAATAAGTGGTGAACGTTTAGTAAACCATCAACAAATATTCATTGAACGCTCTGTGAACACTACGAATTCGTGGAGAACACTTAAAAATTAGTGAATACTGTCAACATTGTCAACTTTGTGAATACTGTGAACATTATGAACAATGAGAGCTAAGCACTGTGAACATAACACTGTGAACATAACAATATGAACATAACAATATGAACATAACACTGTGAACATAACACTATGAACATAACACTGTGAACACAACACTGTGAACATAACAATGTGAACATAACACTGTGAACATAACAATGTGAACATAACAATGTGAACATAACAATGTGAGCATAACAACTGTGAACATAACACTGTGAACATAACAATGTGAAAAAGCCATAATAACTGTGAACATAACACGTGAACATAACAATGTGAACATAACACTGTGAACATAACAACGTGAACATAACAATGTGAACATAACACTGTGAACATAACAGTGTGAACATAACAATGTGAACATAATGTGAACATAACACTGTGAACATAATGTGAACATAACAATGCGAACATAACAATGTGAGCATAACAATGTGAACATAACACTGTGAACATAACAATGTGAACATAACAATGTGAACATAACACTGTGAACATAATGTGAACATAACAATGTGAACATAACAATGTGAACATAACACTGTGAACATAACAATGTGAACATAACAATGTGAACATAACACTGTGAACATAACAATGTGAACATAACACTGTGAACATAACAATGTGAACATAACAATGTGAACATAACAATGTGAACATAACACTGTGAACATAACAATGTGAACATAACAATGTGAACATAACACTGTAAACATAACAATGTGAACATAACCACTGTGAACATAACAATGTGAACATAACACATGTGAACATAACAATGTGAACATTAACACAATGTGAACATACCATGAAACAATGTGAACAACCTGAAAAAACATAACAATGTGAACATAACACTGTGAACATAACAATGTGAACATAACAATGTGAACATAACAAGTGTGAACATAACAATGTGAACATAACAGTGTGAGGACTGTAAACGCAACATTGTGAAGTTTGTGAACTCTGTGAACATTGTCAATGATAGGTGATTGCACTGTCATATGGTGAACACTGTGAATATTTGCCGAACTCTGCAGCGCACTGGAGACCACTTAACACTTACTTGCAAATCACTTGATAAAAGTGGCACTGATGTAGCAAGTGATAATAACAGGAAATGAATGGAACAGTGTGTCACCACAGGTGTGGCACTAGTGAGGGTGATGACAGGTGTGGCACTAGTGAGAGTGATGACAGGTGTGGCACTAGTGAGAGTGATGACAGGTGTGGCACTAGTGAGAATGATGACAGGTGTGGCGTAAAATGGACACCATATGCATAGATCAAGTACTTTTTGTAACCCACAAGACTTCAAAGTTCTTAGTTGTTTTTCTTGAAGACTGTTACTACATGTTAGTTATACTTTATGTTATTTCGATAAACTAGGTAAGCAATGTGATGTTTTGTAAATGACGTATTACGCACCTTGGAACTAAAGTCTCACGTTGAAGGTTTTGCTGTTACGAATGCTTCTAAAATTGTCTTCTGAGACAGTTTCATTGAGAATCTAAAAAAATTTTCATCGTATAAGTTGTTGAGAGTACTTACTGCATCGTCAAGCAGGTGAAGCTGTACACTAACTTAGTTGTAGTCGCAGGGGTCCAGAATTCGCTCATGACCCCGCCTCTCAATTGCTCACAAATGGTCAAACTTTATTTCTTTTCCCCATGTAACTTATCGTACCTTCTTATGAAACGGTGTATGGAACTTGCTACCTGACGTCCCAGTGTGTGTGTGTGTGTATATATATATGACGGTGTTTTTCATACTTGATTGGAGATCCACTAATGCCCTTCTGCAACTACAAGGACACACCAGTCACAACTCCTTTTATACGCTTACTTTACCAAAGATTAACTTTGGCAGCACAAGTACTGTTGGGGAACATATCAAACACTTGACTTCGTGGTTTCTCGTGGGGCGACAATCAGCTAATACTTGCACTCAAATAATCTTCGTTGATGAGCATGTAATCCACTATAATATGGTTCATTAAATACACCGCTTCAGCTCACTTATTGTACGTGACTCTTCAGAGACAAAATTGGTGCTCAAATTGAAGGAGCTCCCAGATATATTAGTGAGCTCACTAATTCTCCAGATACATAATACTGATGAGCTCACAAGCAAACTTCAGCAGTGTTGAGATGAAGTTATAAAAAGAAAAGAAAACTGTGTTTACCTCAGGATTGCTGCTGATATATAGGAAAAAAAAAGTCCAAAATGCAAGTTAAATTTAAAACCGAAAACTCTCATGTTTGAGATTCAATATTTAGTGTTTGGTGGTCTCGAGTCTCTCTTCCACCCCCAGTAATATTAAGTGATGAAAGATGAAGTGACGTGTAGCATAATCATATTAGGAAATATCACGTGAAAATTTAGTGAGATTAGCATGGAATGAAGTGAAAAATATATGAAACGAAGAGAATTAATTACAAGATTGCTGCTGTGAGCATCCGCATTTTTGGACTGCCGGGAGGATGTTTTAACACAAATTATTATCTGACATCGTATTTCCCCAACTTGTGATGATAGATTTCATCGCTTCAACTGAGTAGTGACATCGTCTGAACATCATCTGGCTAATGAGATCAACATGTGCTGAGTGACATCAAGCAACAGCTGAGAGAGGAGGTTGGATGTCCCAGGGAGGAGGATGGATGTCCCAGGGAGGAGGATGGATGTCCCAGGGAGGAGGATGGATGTCCCAGGGAGGAGGATGAGTGTCCCAGGGAGGAGGATGGATGTCCCAGGGAGGAGGATGGATGTCCCAGGGAGGAGGATGGATGTCCCAGGAAGGAGGATGGATGTCCCAGGGAGGAGGACGAGTGTTGAGGCCAGACAGAGCAGCTCCAGCACTGGTTAAATCATTTCAATACAGAATGTCATGTTGCCCCACGTGCAATGCAGTGTTCCATGTTGCCCCACTTGCAATACAGTGTTTCATGTGCAATATATTATCAGTATGTCTCTCTCCTCGTTTTCTTTCCATCCTTACCTAACGACGTGCTGACACATTGTACACGTTCAGCGTTCCAGGCCCCGTCTGGGGCTCGCTTATCAAGGGTTACAGAGCCTAATCAAGGCACTTAAAATTAACATTGCCTTTAGATACTATGGGGAGTCATCGTCATTCTTAAGCAACACATCAGTGACCAGTATCTCCTTCCCAAGGGGGAGATGAGATGAGATGTGAAGCAATATAGTCTAAGACTTGACAAGGATGGTTCCCCATCGCGCATTAGTAGGAATAATGACCGGACTCTCTGAAATTCATTAAAAGAACAAAAGTTAAAGCAAACGTTATAAGAGGAAAAAAGTTTTAGAAATTACCAAAATATATAACAAACTAGAAGTTGAGATAAAGACACTAGTAGCAGAAGATATTGTTAATGCAATGTTTTCCCCAAGGCAGGGCTTTATCGAGCAATTCTTGATAAGGTCCAGCCTTGGGAGAAACGTATTGAGAGGATCCTCTATCAGTACATTGTTGACTTTTGTCATTGTTTACTTACTAAAAGCATATCCAGTTCCCTCGATTATTTCGATGATGGAACACTACACAGGCTTCACAAATAATAAAATCAACTGTAGCTGGTGTCTCTGTGCTCGTAACAGGAGTGATTGCTTCTCACTTTTTACTTAGATTATTACGTTAGGTTGGGTTTAAAAACTATCTACTACAATAGAGATGGTAAGACTACAAATCACCTATACACTTATTAAAATATAATAGGATTAAGGTATCTTATATACATCTCAAATTATATACACAGATATACACCTCTCATTGCATATGCACACTGATAGATGCACAGAAAGAATGAAATCGGATAATACCGTGACTGGTACAATACACAACTAACCCGCATATAGAAGACTGAAACTATTAAAGCTAAATGGTTATAACTATAACCATAATTTTGAAAGGGGGTGGACCAGTAAGCCAGCGGAAGGCCTCGGTCATCTGACTAAAAGATCCAACAGCAGGTCATCATATGACTAAGACCCGTGTCAGGAAACACTTGTCCTGTTTCCTGACAAACCTTAGCTAACCTAACCTAGTAGTAGTAGTAGTAGTACCAGTAGTTGTTGTTGCTGTTGTAGAGAAAGAAGCGTACATGTTTCAGTATACAGTAGAACCCCTGTATCCACTGTTTCAGTATCCACTGTTTCAGTATCCACTGTTTCAGTATCCACTGTTTCAGTATCCACTGTTTCAGTATCCACTGTTTCAGTATCCACTGTTTCAGTATCCACTGTTTCAGTATCCACTGTTTCAGTTATCCACTGTTTAATGTGGCCCATAAATACTTCTTAATTTATCATGATCATATTCCCAAAGCACAAGTGGCAGTTCTTCAGAGCCTAAGACAAGCCGTGAAGTGCTTCCTACTAATGAAAAAGTGATAATTCTCTACTTATTGGGAATAATTTATCAATTAAACTTTATAATAGGTATGTATAGGACTTATATAGAGTGTTTGCTACTATGCACGATTTCTGTATCCACGGCAGGTCCTGGGAACGTGTCCCCCGCGGATATCGGGAGTCCTACTGTATATATACTCAAAGGTTCATTTATTTTAGTGTATATTCACACGAATAACCCACATATAGGAGATAATCTTATGACGACTTTTCAGTACGACTTTTACCATTAACTAGTCACACAGAAACACGAAGGGAATGGAGCCAAAACAATGAATCCCTTGTTAATAATTTAGAAATTTCAGAGGAACTGGGTGCTAGCGACCACAAATCAATTACGTTTAGCATTAAATGGAAGTATGATAGTAGCGATAACTCAGTAACAGTCCCAGATTTTCGCTTAGCAGATTACGATGGGCTTAGAGAACACTTATCATCTGTTGACTGGGGTAACGAAGAGAGCTATCAGTATGACAGTTTTCTGAACACAATACATGCTGCTCAAAGAACGTTTATCCCATATAAAGAAATTAGATCAAATAGAAATGACCCAAAATGGATGAATAATAGGCTCAAATATCTACTAGGGCATAGAAAGGAATTTTAGGCGTATCAGAAGAGGCGAGGGTCATCTTATGAATCAGTATATTGACATTAAGAAGGACATTAAAAAGGGGATAAGAAAAGCTAAAAGGGACTATGAAATTAAAGTTGCTAGGGATTCGAAAACTAACCAAAAAAAGTTTTTT